GACAACATTGTTAATGAATTATATTCAAGTAAAGTATTTGAAACTTATAATGGAGCTTCTAATAATTTAGCAGGTTTAGCAAATGATGAAGTGTTCGATTTTGTTGAAGATGTAGGAGCAATGAAGAGTTCGGTTATTGAACGAGCATCCACAGGTAATGTACGTACTCTCAATATACTCACATTTAAATTTAAATTTGTTCTTTACCAGAGGCTGCCACCATGCGGGAATTGCTGAAAGAGTTTATAAGGCAAGAGATCCAATTTTCATCTCATATTGACAAGCGAGAGCACAATAAGGGGATTGAAGAAGCACATGAGATGCAATGTGTTAAAGGAACTATGTCACTCTCTAATTTGGATGAGAACAAATCAGAGAACGATGGGCCAGAAAATAGAAAAGAAGACAAACTGCAGCATCTCAATGAATCTGAAAGTGAGCTGGATACTCTGGATAGCGCATCTCTAAAATTATCAAAAGCGGATCAGATCATTGAGAAAATGTCCCGGCGACGATTTTCAGAAGTACAAGAGAAACAAGAGAAGGAGGATAGTAATCTCAAGGATTCCGTATTTGATGAGCCTCTCGTTCAGCCAATGAGCGATTTGCAAGGCCAAAACTCACTGGATATTGAAGATGGTGATATTGTATATAAGCGCCTACAACGGGATGAGACTCGTGAGAGCTCAGCCCAAAGCGAGTCTGTTATATTTGGAAATGATGATGAAGGCAGGGCTATGTCGAATAATCCGGAAATTTCAAGATCCCCGCTATCTCGGCATTATACGATTGCCGGTGACGATCCAAAAACTATTTTTAAGTCCGTGATAATTAACGATTCAGTTAAATATATTTACGATGAAAATGAGAGTACTATCGATGGCAACAGCTCCAAGGACAGCAGCAGTTTCTGTCTGGACGACGAAACGTCTGAAAACATTCGCAAAAAGATGATGGCATATTCCTTGTCGGAAGCGGACTCCGATTACTGTGACCCGAATAAAATCATGAAGGACGACTTTCATATAGACACTGCAATGACAGATGCTATGGACACATCCACAGAAACCGAATCGACAATTGTTTCCGCTGCTGCTAAAATACAGGCAGGCGCACGGGGATTTCTAACAAGGCGACGATTGCGACGGGCCAGTGCAGGGACTAAGTCGTCTACCCAGGAAACCAAAGCATCTTTCGGGAATGATGCTATAAGCGAATCATTGGAACGCTTTATTGAAGAGGAAGCTGCTAAGAAAATTCAAGCGGCATATCGATTGCATACTAAGAAGCCCAAACGCCAGGCACTGGGTCTTACCAATGGCTCCAGTCTGGAAAGTACCTTGGCAGCCAAGCGGCAAATGCTTCAGCGCGGAGACGCATTGCAAAATGATTCGAATTCTTCTCCAGAGAATGAAAATACCAATTGCGTCTCCGGCGACCAGTCAAAAGTACCTATTGAGACGATTTCGTCGTCAAACAGAGGTAAGCTATTACATTAGGTGCGGCAAGTTTTTAGGTGCTGAACAAATACTACAGACATGGATTCAAATGGGCAACTGAGTTGTTACTGTAAATAATTGATCTTTATTGATTTATTTATTTTATTTTTTTCAATATCCAACTATCTAGAGATCGAATTAAAGTAATATTAATTCATAATCATAATAATAATTTCATTCGGTCAAAAAATGCTTATAGTAGGAAATTAAAAAAAGTGTTTAGTAAAGTAAGTAAATATAAAACACATCTTCAGAGATTAATGATTATACTCATTCACGAAAATGAAATGAGTATATTGGTTTTGAGAAATTTTCGTCTTGCTGTCCGTCCGTTGCTTCGTCTGTCTGTCCGTTTGAACGCAATTTATTTCGGCGCTATTG